AAAAGATCTATTTTACTGTATAATGTCAATAGGTACACCTCTAGATCTATAATACTGTCTAATGTCAGAAGGTACATTTAAAGATCTATTATACTGTCTAATGTCATTAGGTACACCTTTAGATCTATTATACTGTCTAATGTCAGTAGGTACATCAAAAGATCTATTTTACTGTATAATGTCAATAGGTACACCTCTAGATCTATAATACTGTCTAATGTCAGAAGGTACATTTAAAGATCTATTATACTGTCTAATGTCATTAGGTACACCTCTAGATCTATTATACAGTCTAATGTCATTAGGAACACATTTAGATCAAATACAGTGTTGGATATCAGTAGGTGCAACATCAGATCCAACATTTGGTTTTAATGGATTTTGCTTTCAGTTTCACATATTTTATCAGCCCAGACCTGTGTTCCCTTTCTAAGCAACATGTTGACCTCATTATATTAGATAGGTGTATTTAGAGGTGTATAGTTACTGATATAGAGGTGTATAGTTACTGATATAGACAGAGTACAAGATCTGGGTTAATATCTATTATTACCGGGCCTGATTTCATGCTCAAACACATATTTTGTGCTCCAGCCCAATTTCTGGTGCCAGTGATCAGTTAATATAAATACAATATTTTGTCTACAAAATACAAGAAATGTTGAAAGCCAATTACTGCTTCAAGTATTTACATTCGACTTTTTGACCATTTGACATGAATTAAGCAGGTTACAAGTTGTTGGCTTGAGCACACAAATCAGTGTCAGTATGAGACCGGTTACATGAATACAGGCCCAGGTTTTTAAGCTGGTTTCAGCTGGCTGATATGTTTTTGACAGTTCTGAAGAAAAATAAAACACAACACTACAATTTTTCTCCAGCATACTGCAATTTTAATTCTTACTCTGGAAATGATTACTCATGTTTGAAAATGACATAAGAATAGATACAAACTGTGTCAGACAAAGGGAAATTGATGAAATATGAATGCACCGGTCTATGAGGAGATGATGTAACGGCTGATGTGATTGGATGATGTAACAACAGATGGTTGAATGAGAATTATGAAACAACTGCTGTCATTGGTCCAAAGAAAAGTCAACATTTGTGCAAAAGTAGTAAATGGAAAAATAATGTTTTACAGTCACCTAATGAAGTGCAATTATCACTTAATCAAATTATACTTGTCATATGACTGATCACATGATCCTTTGTAACATGACAGATCAATTGTAAATGTCACATGACTGATCACATGATCAATGGTAACTTACATGTAACTGTTACCATGTTGTGATCATATAAATCAACTTAAATATATTTAAAACAGTTGATGACTTAATAACACCGAAAAAAGTGCCCAATAAAACTGTTTCTCTATGAAAAATATGACAAATTATTCATTCAGAGGAAAACTAAAAAACAAAATGCACATTAACTGCACAAGTTCATAACTCAGCAGTTCAAATTGAAGACCTTAGCCAGCATTCTTTTTTTTACAATTTTAAAAACATTATTTTTTATAAAAACAAAGACCTGTGTTTTTTCCATTTTTTTCCTGAGACATACCAACAAACAATTTCTCAAGTATATGTCAACATTATGCACAAATGATGTAATAAATTAGAGGGCAAACAAAGTGACTAGACAGATGGCACACAGAGGCAACAAACACCCAAAGTAAAGTGAGGTTATGACAGCCCTAAACCTTCTGTGTCAGAACGCTGTCCTTCTCCTACAGAGGCAACCAACACCCAAAGTAAAGTGAGGTTATGACAGCCCTAAACCTTCTGTGTCAGAACGCTGTCCTTCTCCTACAGAGGTTGTATGATGGTAATCAGTGTACAATCACACTCAGGTAGGATATTTAAGAGGTTCAAATTACACCCCGCTAAAATGTGTCCCAATCACACCCAGGGTATTTAAGATGTCCTGCTTACTCCTAGGTACAAGATTCTAATGACCTTTCACTCATACCCAGAGTCCTCACAATTCTTAACTCACCCTTAGGTAGGGTCCAAATGCTGTCCCACTTATCACTACTAACCATACCCGGGATGTTTTTAATTAATGAAGCTGCACTCAGCCCTTAAAATATCCTTACTTACAATGAAGCTGCACTCGGCCCTTAAAATATCCTTACTTACAATGAAGCTGCACTCAGCCCTTAAAATATCCTTACTTAGAGTTAAGAAGGGTCTATACCTCCATACCATAAAATACTGAGGATTCAGCATAATGATGGTCTAACCCAACCTAGTATGTGCAATAGTGTCTTTATAAATGATTCCAGCAGGTCATCCACAACCTTTCCTACCTCTGCAGTTCGATCCCCAGTAACATTTAACAGGTAAACAGTATTCTGTTTCCCTAGCCCAGTAGTGAGGAGGACAACATAAGTTATCTCCCTTACATCACAAATACTATCTAATGAAATAAATAATGATCCTCCCTCCCTTCCAGGTAAGTCTGATTGTATTTAATCAAAGGGAGATAATTCTCATGAATCAAGGGAAAATCTAGCAAGACTAAGTCTGCAGAAAACATCAAAATAATAGGAGAGCAGAGATCTATATAATATATACAGCTGATACATGAATACATCATAGACATAAAGATTAATAATACTTTCAAGCTGTTTTGACAACTGCCGGTAGATAACCATGCAACTTCTGAAGGACTATATACTTCTTTTGTATTTTTAACGTTTGATTGTCAAATAAGGTCATATACATCTCTTTAAAAGTTTATAGTTCCAGTTACAACAATACACATGAGAAATAAGAGGGAAGTGCCCTATGTTCAGTGCTGAATGTGAGAGTACCTACTCCCAGACCAGTATCCAATGATGGGGCCTATAGTCTCCCAAACTGTATCAACATAGCCGATATCTAAAGGCAAATACCTCCTTATCCACAACCTTTATCCGTGATTAAAATATGAAAAGGAGCAAACTAACAAAAACCCTGTAACATCTTCAGATCCTTTATCCCTTGTTTATAGTTAAGTTATATCTAGCCCTGTAATCCCCAGGCATCACTGAACTCACAAGGAAAGTTAAATACATGGCCACAAGTCGACGAAAGCCACAGTATTATGGATAAGGAGAAGGCTACTGCAATGCTAAACTCTGATATGTACATATAATGCCGCTCTTGTTTCTCCGGTCAGATTTATGGGATAACTAGATCTATATTCGAATGCCAGTCCTGTTCTGTCAAAGATCCATAATGTAAAATGACTTTGGTTCTGATGGCTGCAATTTTTAATTGCGATGTGTAAACAATGATTGGAAGAATCTTAGCAGGACTATTCCTGCCTATCTACAAATGTACATTCTTCAACAGAATGTGGAGGTTTTTGCGATAAAGCTACACTACAATCTTCCTTATCCATTTAAAATTATGTTAAGGAATATTAATGCCTACATGTCCACTACGGTTTTCTCTCTCTCAATACTGTGGGTAACCTTTCAAATCAAGGTGGGTGCCAAATGCTCTTTTAAGTAAAGCTGCAATCACTGGAATAATTTCGATTTTCCGCCTTCATTACATTTTTAAGGAAATGAAATTTCATTCTGAGTAGAAATGCAAATCTAAACAAAATCAACAAACAAACACACAAGAATTTCCCTCAGCCTATCAGGAAGGCTGATACATTGAATACATTTTGAATACCAAAAATTGTATTCAAAATACTGATAGAAGCACTTTCTATATTCATACATATATATACAAGTCATGGAAATATATTACCTTAAAAGTATTTCCCCTAGTAATCAAATTTACAATCTGACTACCGGTAAAAATGTCTTAAACAATCTATGTACATCCCTCACGTCAACAGAAACTGGACTATTGTACAAATCCATAGTCAATGCACTTCTATGGAACAAAAAAATAAAACACAAAATTGAGATCCAAAATAGTTCTACATAGTATAAAACGAACACAACAGTGCACACGTAGACAAAATGTACCTAGCACATCGGACAGCACACTCCTCCTTGGTCTATAAGTTAAGGACACTCTCACAAGCTACCATATACACACACGTATTGGTGCCAGTCCCTGTCCGCGCCTCAATACCAAATATATATATACAGGATCAAAACCATGAACACAGTATCTCAATACATCACTGTTTCTGTGGCACATCAGTAGATAAAAATAACAAAAGGTCAAAGGTCACATCAGGGGTAAATTGCCTAACTCTCCTCACCTACAGTAACATATTGTCTAAAGGAAAAAATCATTTCATACAACGTTTTACTTTCACACAAGATTTAGCCGTTTTTATTTATGCACACTGCAGCTTGTTTACTTTTCTAAGATATGTTCGAGTACCGTAGTAAACAAAACCAGACTTTAAACAACAAATTGTCTGATTTTTCTCTTCTGAAAGAGTAAAAAACAGTGGGAGCTGACTATTTCCTTTTCAGTGAAACTTGTAGCGTAAAAAAGGGAAGTATTTTCTAAAAAGGTGTACAAAAACACTTGCAAATAATTTTTCTTTTTTCGTATTGTATGTGCTAACAAATGTTGTTCCCAAACCAGTGAAAAAAACAAACAAACAAAACTGCAAAAAATCAACAAAGCTGACAATAAAATTAAAAGTGTACAACTTCTCGGGTGCTGTCAGCAGTAACATGTTATCAAATATTACTCCTATCCTATTGTAAAACAAGTTTTTTGTTCAGTTCTAATTTTTTTCTAAGAAAACAAAATCTTCTGCCGTCATCCATAAATGTGGCAATTATTTCATCTTGAAATCAAGTCATTACTTTGCAACAGATAACAAAAGTGTGAAAGCCCAAAATAAAGGAAGAGCAATCTATTTTTCAGATACAAAATCAAACATTTCAATTGTAAAACTAAAAGAAATTTCATTTGAAACGGAGATAAAGCATTTTGTCAAAATTTAGTTTTAACCTAATTTCTTTTTTCAATTATAGGAATATACCAATGTGTTTGCTTTTATAACCCCTGTACAAAAAGACAACAATTCTCACACCAAACGGCAGCCATAGTGCTGCTAAGTATAGTAAATCCAGTTTGTGTATGAGGCTGACTATAATAAAATCAAAACAACAATACATGATGATTGTACAGCCTTGCTATCAAATCCTGAGTCTTCATAATTAGCTACATGTACTAGTTAATGCTTTGGAAATGTCTGCTGGGTTTTTGAAAACAAGACTGCTAATAATAATAACTACATGCACAAATATTCAAAGTGTTGAACTTGATGATTATAATGAGGTTCCATTAAGAACTGGTTAACAGATTTCCTTAATACAAACAGGAAGGAGATGTCACAAATTCTGACGGACAGCAATTTAAAAACAGATGTATAGATATGCACTTCTAAATCAGAGAAAATATGACAGATGAAAAATGAACTAAAACAATAAATAGAATAGTTAGCTCTTAATGAACTCTTGATGAAGGTGTCATGCATTGATTAATTTCTCTATATAGATTATAACACCTCTAAAACAGAAACTCAATGACATGTAGCTGTATAGAGTTAGAAAAGTGTTTGTCATTTTCTAAGGAAATACAGGTGTTTGGTTACCATCAAACAAATGTTACACATCAGAAAATTAAAATTTTCGACATGTCATCTTTCACTACCACAAAACAATCCTGATTAATTAATTCTAAACTCTTTTGCTTTGCATACGAGAAATAAATAGAATTGAATTATCCTGGACGATCCATCAATGTTCATTGTAGCTTACCTATCAACAGTGACGTATCAATCATGCAATATATATATAGCACAGCGCTGACACATCAAAAATAACTTAATTTAAGAAAACCAAAAAAATATTTTTTTTGATGACTCAAAATTAAATTTTGCATGAAATGTGTTGATTACGTTTTTGTTATGTAAGGGTGTAAGATGATGGGTTCATACAGTACATAACAACCTACCTGTGATCCATCACGACACCTACCAGTATTATACATTGCTAGACATCAGGAGTTACCAGATTGTAATCAACAAAGGTGAGGCAGGATCTTGATCAGTTCAAGCATTCAAATTCAAACAAAAACTTCAGCGACAAAACTCCACGAAAAAGAAGAAAAATATTCAAACTTCAACAAAAAGCAGATCTAGAAACAGCAAGGTGAAATGATTGTTCAATATGTGAAAAAAAAATTGAAGTTTCAAATGTTACTACTCGTAAGGAAATTAAGAGTTAATTTAAAAAAAAAAGTCTATTCCACTAAATGTAATGGAAATTTCAAAACAACTTGGAGGAAAAAACAAAAACAAATCTTCTCGGCTGGTCTGAGGCACTTGATGCTCCTTATACCACAAAATGAACATAAGGAAACAAATCATTAATATTTGAACTTTAATGGTTCAAATGCTCTTGATTGGTTGCAGAATTCCTAATTTGCATGAACCTGTTTCTGACTGAATTAATGCAACAATGAGATTAACCCAATAGTATTAGGTCAATTTTCATTGTGATAAAATATGGATCAAAGCGATTTAAACAACTTCTGCACTAATCAATGACTTTTATACACGTATGAAGTGGGTAGAGAAGTTAAAAAAAAAAGTAAAAATGAATGAGGAAAAAAATAAATATATATTGCAACAAGATTCGGTTGACTATTGCACTCCAAAACAGCACACCCATGTCAGAAAGTGAAAATGAATTCTGTGATCTCAGTTCTGTTTTGTTACACATAAGATCCAGTCATGGCTACGGCTTTGAGCTGAATAACCAGGCCAAAAGTATTTATAGAATGACTAATAAATCTCTTCTTTTTCACGAAATCAAAAAACTGGAATCTGTCAAAATAACTAGACTTTTAACATTTTAAAAGATGGAAATTGTAGTCAAAGATTTGAAATAATAATCAAATTTTGACCAGAATTATTAGCACTGTGTCACAAGGTAGATAAGGTCGTAGCTATCAATTCAATACATAGCGTAAACACAACGGTTTTTGTAATCATCTGTGGAAAGTATCCATATCATTACGAGCTTCTAAAAAATTGGAATCAATTTCTAGCTTTGGCCTGATTTAACGATATATATATATAATGTATAGAATTAAAAAAAAATCATTATGATTCAATCTTTCAAAATTGAAATATAACAATAGAACACCCTAGTGAGCACTACAGTGTTAACACATTCTATGATTCTCGCCACACGCTAACAAATTGTCAAAGGTCCATTTGATTCACTTAGACATGAAATATAATACACTATAATACACTGCAGCGAAATCAAGTCCTTGCTGCATGCGCCTTTCATAACTTAATGAATTACAACTTAAACAAGTCAATCAATGCAGATCTAAATAAAACAAAGTTGGTCTTACAAAGAAGACCAAACAGTCAATATCTGCACAATTTAAATAATACAACAGTTTCAACTTAAACAGTCTCATGACGCAATTGTACTGGTCACGACGGGTGAGAGCACTGTTTCCTGTGTCTGTGATTGTTGGGGCTGCAGTGACTGTAAATAAAGCTCCTGATTGTGTGATAATTGTCCGTACGGAGACACTGATTGTTGTGATCTTTGCATGTCCTCGCATGCCGTTTCCATGGCTGCCTCTTCCTCATCAAACTCCTCCCCGGAACCTGTCAGACCATCCTCGAGATCTCGCATCTCTTCCTCATCCTCTCTGTCCAGTGGAGAATGACCGTTCTCCAGGAAGGTGTCGGCTTCCATGTCGGGCTCCGACTTGATTCCCATTAACTCATCCCTGGAAAATAAGAATACGAGGTTTCCCTTGAATTAACCCTGCCGATAATAATATTTACCTATCTAACAAACATATGTACTAGGAAGTGTTTTTTTCTCTACAGTATAAAGTGTTTTTTTCTCTACAGTATAGTTCTAAAATTCTGAAATTATTTTTATATGTCATTCAACTGTTTTGAACCTGTTTTTTTCCATTTATCATTAATAAATAATTGACCTACTACAGAAACATAACGATACACACAGATCCCCAATATTTTCTTATACATATCTCATGATCTACCTGTACAGGAAGAGAGATGGGAGGTATTTTCTTCCTTTCCCGGTGAAAGCCACAGATACAAAATGGAAAGATTTACTTATCTTATCTAAAATTGATCTTTTTGAATCCAAAATTGCACAAAAACTTTTTGTAGGAGCATTAATAAAATTGAAATAAACACCTGTAAAGCAGTCGGTGACTCTCCATACACAATGGAAGCTGGAGAAGATTAAGGCCCCTTAGGGATCTACGCTCGAGTGATTTACCGACTTGTGCACTCGAGGGAATCAGACTGTACATATACTAATGTGTTCACAAAGTAACGTAAATAAATAAACACAATCTCACCAGGTGATGTCGTTCATTGTCATCCATCTTACTTTTTCCTCAATCATTACCATAATGTAATATTTCATCAGCCTAGAATGATTTTCCGTTTTGTAGCTTTCCAGGTACCTTATATATCATTAGAAACTGCCTACAGACTTACTATATTCGAAGCCTTTATTATATACATTTATATTAAGAAACCCATAAAATCATCCGTATGATGTCAGCAAAAGACATTGATCCTAACAGATAAAATGAAAAGCCGGGAGATTAAAAATAGATAACTCAGCCATAATAAACCACATATGATGGTATTTCTTTTATAAGAACTTTACACCCTTATACAACCTGCTTTCTTATCTGTTTCTAAGGTCTGTTTTTTATTCAAATATATTCTTTTAATTAAACAAAATTTAATCTAGATAAATTGAAGTTATTTACATATAAACGGATAAACAATGGCAACCACAGTCATGATGTAAACAAGTTGCTATTTTTCTGAAATACGAAATTTGCATGTGAACAGGTAACCATTAACAAATATAGATAAATGTCCATGTGATGTTTGTTAGGGACGACAGGAAATTGGCCATAAGGAAAGCTGTATATCTTTTTTTTAACCATCATGTGCGGTGGTTTTACGACTATACTTGGATCAATAAAAACATTGTTTAGACAAACGCCCTCGCCATGTCAAAGTCAAATCTGCGACAACTTGTTTCCGCTTAAGCGCCGTGAAAAATTTAATTACACTCACACATACACGCGCACGTAAATTTCATAGGTAAAAATAGCCCCGCTCATTCATCAACATACTTTCTGATATTTATGGGATGAGATTTTCTGTTAAACCAACATTTGCCAACTCATCGTCTACTGTTACCTTGTCTTCCCATTAATGTATGTATATATAGATATATATTTATATAGCCCGGTACTATACTGTGACCTTAGTAAAATCTTACTTTTCCTCATTAATTATGCTCTGGAGCATGGCAATGATATGCAAAGTAATGACAGATCTATGTGAAGTTTATTTATTTGCGATACATCTCGATATACATAAATGACCCATGACTGTCTGGGGACTGTCAATAGTGACCTGCTTAACAAAGCGTACAGTTTGATCTCTACGACAGATAATAAACTAACCACGTTCTAATTTGCATATTGTCATCAGTAAGCAGTATGCGAGGGTGTCAGGGTTGACATTCTCACTTCCGCTATCCATGGCCCAACATCCATCAATATGTGATTGACATACAGCTGGCCTCGAATGAAATCAGCTTGACTAGTAAACCCTTTGATTCACGTAATTAATGAAATCCCTGTCATGCCTTCACAGATAGTGAATTAATGGATGAAAATATTTTGTTTTTATTTTCAAATACCTGTCAAACTTCTCTTGTGTTTGATTTTCCATCTAATGAAAGATTTCCTTTTGAACTCCTTGAATATCAATGACTTCTGGATATCGTTACTGACATTTGTTTGTGCTTTCTTGAAACGGAAAGCAACATGGCACATATCTCAGATTTCCCCCCCTTCAATTTTGAAAATTTTATGCAATCCCTTCGGCGTTGAACTTATTGTCGAACATATGGATAAAGACATCATTGTTCCATCAATAGGTTAGATGTCAAGAACTTGTCAAATCAAATTTATTTTTGTTCTCGACAATGAGACATTGCAGTCGTAGCAGGAATTAAAACAGTCCAGTATTTTCTCACACCGAGCGGCGTCACCAGATGATTTTTTTATTTGAAAGCATTGATTGCTGATGACAATTGCTGTGGCTGTGCTATAAGACGTAAACTATTCAAAGATTTAAAGGGGAAAAAGATTCAATATGGGATGGCTAGTGGAAAGGCGAAAATGGTCAGAGGAAAATCAAGGGAAAACGAAGGGAGGTAAAGAATGGGTAGAGGGCAGTTAAAGAGTGACACGCAGGGGTTGAGGAAGAGGTGGCTATGTAAGAGAATACAGGGAAAGAAATTGACAGGAGAGAACCGTGGAAGGGGAAAGAGGGGAATGAGGAGTAGGGGGGTAGAAGAATGGATCAGATATAATCTAGAATGAGTTCTACACATACCTGGGTGGTAGTTCTAGCTTGGCTAGACTGTCTGAACTGCTGTTGCGACTGGACTTCATGGAGAGGTCTTCCACTCCGTCAACAGACACGTTGCCGTTACACATTTGATGATTCATCATACTGTTCGCATGTTCTAGCGCCACCTATGTAATACAAAAATTCATAATGAAAAAACGCCACCCTAATAATGTTAAACTTTACCTAAAAATTGGCAATAAATTTTCAACCTGTAACCAGAAATATTGCTAATATTAGAAGTGAATTTAGAAACAAAAAGATTGATCGGGAGGAATTTAGAAGAGTTTAGTATGATTTTAAAACAGAAATCAGGGTAAGGTCTTTGAATGTATAAAACGTGACATAACCTCAACAAAGATAAAAGTGTCCGTTTACTGATCAATATAGGTAGGTACCTACCCTTAAGCTGGCATTGAGGTTTTCACCAAACACAGAATGTTCACTCTGCATGGAAGGACTCTTAGACATATTCCTGAAACATAACAAGTGACATGTGAAGAGTGTTGAAGTATCATTATTTTAGATCATATTATCATTAAAATCAGTAACTGTTTTTATTGGTATGGTGGTATTTTCTTTGGAAAATTCAGAGCACATAGGTTTCTGAATGCCAAATTGGTTTCTGAATGCCAAATTTTCTAGAATTTTCTAAAAGTATTGCGGCTGTAAGGTAATTAAGTTCCTTTAAACAGGGAAAGTAATTTCAGTGACCTATTCATAGAAACATTAATTTATTCGGGCACAAATGATGGGAGTTAATTCAGAGCATGTCATTTACATTACTGATCATTGATTGATATAGCTGATCACATCCTTCATGTGATCTGACAAAAAAGTCACATCATGGTCCAAATATAGGCCGCATAATAATTAAAACTACCAAAGTAAGCATGTACTTGAGCGGAGTTTCAATAATAAATGCTAATCAGGATATATGTCAATAATGACAGCTATTGAACTGTGACAAGTAACACCTCTCCAGTCCACCTTTCTGGACGGCTGTCTGGAATACGAGCCTCACTTTATACACCTAGCATGGTCATAAATAAAACTTCAAATCAGTGCTACACGGAAATGAATTAATGTTATTCTAAAACAATGAAAAATATGTTTTAACGTAATTTGATATGTAGGAAGGTGATCGGTCTATGAACTACCAGCACAACAAACTGAGCTAAGGTGTGACGACTAATCAGCAGGTCGGGCGACAGGTACAACACAGGTTAACTGCAGGTTACATACTCGTCAGTAATTACCTGAAGCTCGGGGCCTATGGCCCCATTTAGTACCAGGATCAAAACTAATGCTCCTATTACCAGGGCACATCAAAAACCACACATAGACACCTTTAATCATTATCACCATTAATCAAGCTGAATTGTGACCACTTATTTTTGTGGTTAACTATATACTTTCGACAACTTGTATGCAACAAATGGGCTTTGCTAAATGAGGAATAACAGAAATATTTCTCACTTATTGGAATAAAAAATGTGAGATATTTTATAATTGCACCTCAGAAATTTATAAAAAGATGCAGATCACATGAAATATACAGATTTTACAGTTCTATCTTTCATGCTGCTGTTTGTAAAATACAACAACAGTTCTCGGGAAGATTTGGGATAGAAGAAGTAAATATAACCTACCCTCCTAATTTCTGAGGTCTTCTTTTGTAGAACTCGATTTCATCAACCGTCCAGACAGCTCCTTTCACATTCTCCACTCTCATAAAGCATTTGTGTAGACTAAGGTTGTGTCGCACGGCATTCTACAAAACAGACAGCCAAAGTCACAACAATATCTACAAGTTGTCACACAAAATAACCATCATCATCATCAAACCCAATGGGAAGCACAGATATTCGGCAGTATGTGAAGAAGGATTTTGCACAAAGCTTAAGTATATATATATATGCTACCTCACTTTGCACAAAGCTTAAGTATATATATATATGCTACCTCACTTTGACATGTAGAGTTATCTTACTGTGACACAAGGGATTTAGGAGTTTATGCATAGAGACTTTAGACTAAGGAAACATGCTATATTAGGGGTTTATGCCACCTTACTGTCACATGGAAATTTCAAGACTTAAGGAAGTATGCTACCTTACTGTGACATACAGACTTAACTTGTGAGTTCAAGAGTGATTACTACAAACACTAAGACGTACCTTCCATGTGGCCTCATTCCTGCGGAAGTAAGCAAAGGTGTTTTGGAACCATTGATAGATTTCGTTAAGGGTCAGCTGTTTGTGTGGCGACTCGATGATAGCCTAAAACATAAAAACAAGCATGGGTTTAACGTCACATTTGAAGCGGCATTCCTGCGGTTCTTTTTAAGTTCAAAAACATTTGTTTGTGCTTATGAAGAAACAATATGTTTAAATTGGAGATGAACGAAAATACTTCAACTTAAATAAGCACTCATTTATAGTTAGCAGGGTACAACAGGAATAAAAAGAATGATTAATATGACATGAAAAAATATACCTGACGTATCAGCGAGGCGTAGGTGAAGGGTGGGCGAACATCTGTACTTTTGTAGAAGTCTCTATTTCTTTGGATTTCAGCTGATATGGGCAGGTTACACTTGTCGGACACACGTCTCCTCATTGGACCAGCGCTGGTGGGTGTGGTCGGCAGAGACGACGCCTGCGACAGGGGAGTCGACGGTTTTGATATGGGTGTCTGGCCAAGGGGTGGAGGAATCAATAGGGGCAGGGACATGGGGTTACCAACCAGGCCAACTGGCGTCGGAGGGGCTGAGACAGACAGATGGGACAGCTTAAGCGGGCTGGAGGATACCGTCACCATTTTGTTGGGACTTGGAAGCTGACTGAGCAGATTGGACGAGGTGATGGGAGGCGAGTGTGTGTTCAGTGGCTTCTGAAATATAACATTTATATCACATCAGTAATGATTAACACTTGTATAGTCCATTACAGCTTGAACAACATAGAACATCATTAAATCGGATTCTGATAGTCTGGGAAACTACATGATATACATTTGTTAGGAAATTTATCCGAAAATTCAAATTTCTTTTGAACATTTATTCAAACACACTATAGAAAATATTATGCATGAACAAATTTATCGATGTTGTTAGTTCAAATTCTTGCAAATATGTCAATATAAATATCATTGCAAAATCAAGTACTTTAGAATACTATCTGATTTACAGTACAATTCATATTTATGAGAAAAAAAATATATTCCAGAAATTTATTAATTCACACTGAAACTATCTAAAAGAGGTAAATATCATCAAACATCTGTTGATTTTGAGAATTTGTCCTTGAAATCTCCGACAGGTTTGAGCTGGAGTTTCCTGTTAACATTAAACACGACATACGTCAACATGGTTTAACACCAGAAGGCTGAGATAACTAAGAACATTACCTGTGTCCCCCCTTCTGATGACAGCCCAGAATGAGCCTTGTTGTCTGAAGTTTTCATATGTAAGTGTTTCATCATCTCCTGTAGAAGGTCCTTTTCTCGAGTTAACTGTAACCAAACGGCACCACCATTAGAAAAACCATTCTCCATATGTAACCACATGTCATTTAGACCCATAACAGTTTTACTGATTTAAACACATAGACATAGATGTTTGTGTACACTCACATCTCATTGTGTTGAATCTTTGGGATCAAGAAAATGATGACGGGTTTTTGAGATCAGAGGTAAAATACATGGAAATGAATCGCTAAGGGAGCAAAGAACATTGCTGAGATTCCTTTGTTTCTCTCCAGTCTTTACTACTGTATACCAAGTGTTCACCCTTTACTGGTAAAGTCCGTTTTTTGTGCAGTATTATTTTCGCCCTTTACTGGTAAAGTCAGTTTTTTGTGCAGTATTATTTTCGGCCTTTACTGGTAAAGTCCGTTTTTTGTGCAGTATTATTTTCGCCCTTTACATATTACTGTATATATGGTACGTATGTCGTGTTCTTACTTTCACGTTTCGATAAATTCGCCTTCTTAACAGAGGGCCAAAATGGCAAAAGTTTAGCGGCGATGAACATTTCCCTGTATATAGTATTAGGACCGACTTTGCTTTAAAAGTTCTGTGATTTTAAGACCGAGTCATAATTCTGTACATTGTGAATTATCTTAGACTACGACCAGTTTCATGAATGTTGCTTAGGAATAGCCTTACATTTACTTGTCCAGATTGCAATTCAATTTGCCTTGATATTTTCACAGAAATTTAGCGTTTGTTTTACATTTTGGCACTTCATAAATAAAATAAAAATAATCAGATTCAAGATCATAAAGTATAAAGATTGCGAGGCTTCCTCTAGTGCCTACCTGTACCCATATTAAACCACAGACATACATGATTGGGTTTGAACTCAAATGGTAAGATTGTACAATATTTTTGCATTGATATGTCAAAAAATAACCACAGATTATCACAAATGAATATTCCTGACTTTCATCTGTTGTCTCCTTAATTTATTCATCCTATNCCCCCCCCTTCTACAGCATGCTTCTCTGCACCTGCAGAAAAGTGGCTGATTTTTCTCTGTACGATTATCTTTTGAAGTTCCTCCGACTTTATTATTAGCTATATCATATGACCTCGGATACCTGCATGTATTTCCACCATGCTTCTGTTTTAGTTCTGAGTTCATCTACACTTGTTTTTCAGCAGCAATCTGTACCCCAATAAGCAGTGTCCAGGTAGTGATGTGACCTATTTAACACTGTGTCCAGATAGTGATGTGACCTATTTAACACTGTGGACAGGTAGGATAATGACTACCTTATGGTGGTCAGCACTATATATGTACCATTACACCAGGTGATGAACTGACCAAGGGTCACTAAACTCAAAACAGAGAAAAACACCAAGGGCAACTTCACTTGCAGTTGATCGAACGTACATCACTCAGAACAATATCTAAATTTTGACTAATCAGAGGCCTATGTGTGGTCATCACTCAGAACTGTCCAAGGTCACAATGTACGAGACAAAGGTCTAGTGCACCTGATCAGGTTTCATCAGGTAACGACCAGTTATGTGTCAGCCCTGCCCAAAAAATCAACAAGGCAATACAAGTGATATAAATCCCCTCTTATTCACACATTGTGACAAATGTAAGAGGAAATGAAGTCGCTAGAGCGATGACAAAGTTTTTCTAAAAATAGTAAGTGACCTTGACCTTCACATAAAAACCCACAAGGAGAAGCTGTTCAAGGCAATGCCATACTAAACATTCGTATGAAGTTTCATGAAATGCCATTGAGAAATGAAGTCGATAGAGCAATGACAAAGTTTTTTCTCAAAATAGTAACATTGACCTTGACCTTCAACATAGAAACCCGAAACACAACGTTGTTCAAGGTATTGTTATACTTAACACTTATATGAAGTTTCATGAAATTCTGTTGAGGAATGAAGTCGCTAGAGCGATGACAAAGAGTGTAACATACCCATGTACTTATGTACGTATGTGCAAAATCCTATATCCCCTCAAATTTTAGTTGCGAGGGGATAATTACTATAATCTGTACATGTTCAGATCCAAATATGTTCTATAATTCCAGTACGTGTTTAGATCCAAATGTGTCCTATAATTACATATTTTTCACCTGCAACAAAACAAATCATTGTCACAAACAAATCATTGTCACAAACAAATCATTGTCACTGACTCTCCCCAGGAGTGACCTACTGACCCAATGGCCTGCTGTCATACAAGGTGGGCAGTGACGTTTGAACTGCCACTAGAAACACTGCACCTAGATCTAGGACAACCAATACAACAAGAGAAATCATCTATGTCCATATACCAGTGATTTTGCTTTCAGGTAAAAGATTCCATCACGTTTACAATGAATTCATATTTGTCACATTTGTGTCTCAAAGCAAGCCTCATGGACATCAAATTTTGTTAAGAATTTTTACCATAGCCAACTCATTTTTGTGGACATGGCATTTGTCCTAATACTTTAAAGTAGAGAACTGATTTATGATGCCCTGAGGTTCGTTATAAATAAATCATATAAAAGACCTGATTTCTGGGGTCCTAAGGTTTGTTAAAATTGTGTGCTACATATACCATAGACAACTAAATTCTGATGTCCCCCGGGGTTGTTTATTAACAGGTGGTAAAGTACAGACGAAATTCTGATGTCCCCGGTGTTGTTATTAACAGGTGGTACAGTACAGACGAAATTCTGATGTCCCCCGGGTTTTAATTAACAGGTGGTTGTACATTACAGACGAAATTCTGATGGCCCCCGGGGTTGTTTATTAACAGGTGGTACAGTACAGACGAAATTCTGATGTCCCCGGGGTTGTTATTAACAGGTTGTACAGTACAGACAAAATTTTGATGTTCCCCGGGTTGTTATTAACAGGTGGTTGTACAGTACAGACGAAATTCTGATGTCCCCCGGGTTTTAATTAACAGGTGGTTGTACAGTACAGATGAAATTCTGATGTCCCCCGGGTTGGTTTTAACAGGTTGTACAGTACAGATGAAATTCTGATGTCCTTCAGAGCTAAGTTCTGATATCCTCTGCATTGTTACAAAACAGCTAGTACAGTAAAGAAATTAATTCTGATGGCCCCCAGGTGGTACAAAACTAAATTCAGACAGCTCTGGGGTTGTCACAAACAAACTACGGTTGTGACACAGGAGAGTGACGCAGATATGATGCAGCTCTCCTCCCTCTGGTCTGTAAGGTAAGGAAAACTGTGAAATCCAGATCACTTGTGATTATAACCGTTATTGACCAATGGTTGACATCTTATTACCTGGCCTTATTAAGTAGGCTAGCAGTGCCAGTCAAAAATAAACGGAAACAATGATAAATCTGAAATCTGATCGTGACCGAGTTAAAGAGGACAGAACTTAAGCTGCACTTCTTAGTAATTACCTATCAAACTGTCAGTAGCCGTATAAACACAGAAACAGGCTTTTATAAGTCTTCATCAGGATGACATAACAGGATATATCACTAAACAAACTACAGTAAAACAGAGTTGGAGATCAATAACAGCTGTCCAGAACACATAATCCTATATATATATGTATATTTGATTGGATAAACATATTAACAAACCAGTATAAGGTTGTAAAACTTTACACAAAAACTAAATCAATAAGTCCATCTGATTATTTTTCCGTTTTATTGTTGCTTTTTATTTCCCGATTTTATGGCTTCATGCATTTCTGAATATATGTTGTCATGATAATACAGATATGTGCCGGTTAGAATATAAGTTTCCTTTCCACAGGGCCACGCCCACATGTGAATAATTGACAGGTATACGTCGCGGAAGTGTGTCAAGTGAAGTCATCCAGCAAACAAGAACTGTGTCGACATTGTTTAGGGCCTACCGTTGATAATGTATGTCTGGACCACTTCTGTGTCACAATATACCCCCTGCGAGAGGGTATTCATGAAATCATGAATGGTCATGAACAATTCATGAACATTCATGAATATAGACAGTTTGAAATTCATGAATACTTATTCATGAATATTCATCAACCTGCTTTCATGCATTCTTCATGAACTTTTATGAATAATTAATAAATTCATAAAAATGCATGAATCTGCATGAAGTTTGTGATTATGAATTATTCATGGACTTTTATGCACAGCAAAAATTCATTAAAATTCATCAGAATTCATGAAAGGCATATCCTTGAGAAATCATGAACTTTGATGAATTTAAATGAATAATGCAAATTCATTAAAATTCATCAAAATTTCTTAAAGATTGACTGAGCAGAAATCATGAACTTTGATGAATATTTCAAATACACAAAATTCACTATTATTCATGAAATTATGAATGATGAGAAAACTCAGTATCCTCAGAAACCATTTTTTTTCTTGTGGTTATTTCAACTCCATGTCCATTTTGCATGAATGTATATAATAATGTAAATATATATAATATATAAATATAATTGCCAATTTTGCAGGAAGTATACATAAATTATATTATGGAGTTCCATCTGTATTGATTTTATTGACTTTGGGAAGCACTGTAATTACTGGGAGCAGCGGTGGCTCAGTCAGTTGTTAAGGTCACAGACTACAAATCACATGCTTCTCACCTCCTTATGTATATATATATATATATACATATTGAAAATAACACTGGAATTTCAGTGAGATTCCACTGGAATGAAATATTTCAGTGGAATACCACTGGAATTCCAGAGAAGAAAACAAAAATCCTGTGGAATTCCAGTGAAGCAAAAAAATACAAGTAGAATTCCACTGGAAAAAAATCACTGGAATTATATTTCTACTGGAATATTAATTCCAATGGAACTATAACTCCTCTGACAATCCATGCAGAGGTGATGAGATCTGAAATACATTTTGCATGAAGTGGTATTAACTAGAAAAAATGGAACAATACATCAGTTTAACAATTTTTTAATAGATATATTACCCTTTACAAAGACAATTGTAGGCTAGCTATTAACGTACATGAGTTTATACAAAATATGACTATGTTAAGTCAGTTAT